GGATGGATGGATGGATGAATAGAGAGAGAGATGGATGGATGAGTAGCTCCCCTCCTCCTGCTGCCTCCGGTGACACTGAACCATCTGTTTCTTCTCCTCTGGGAGACGAAGGTAAATTAACAGGTTGCCTCATGTTTCAGGTTGAGGTTGAAAGTAGCTCTGCAGTTTTTAATCAGACGCTGTCGACTAAAAACACATGAAGAACTAAGTTCTCGTGTTCTTCACAAGATGATGCGTCTCTGACACGTTTTATTTTAGAGACGTTGAGTCCTGAACTGCACAGTGCCTGGATTTTTACTTTAATCATAAATTCATTTAGCGATCTGAGGTGGTTTTAGCATTTCATTTAAAATACTCCAGCAAAGAGCATCGATATGTTTAAACTGTAAAATATCCAAACGCACACACTTGAACTTTCAAATATCAACATAATAATAATAACATCAGATACTGTTCGTCTCCATCCAGCTGTTTATTTCACACATTCATGGATCTTTTATTTTACATGATCAGTAAAACACCAGTGAAACATTTCTGTCCAAAAATCTATGAATGTATATGAATTGTTCTAACATGAGGCCACTTCCTTCTTCCTACGTTTCCTTCTTCTTCCACTTCTCTCTTACTCCTTTTCATTCTCTCTGATATAATTGGTCTCGGTGTGTTTTTTCTGGTCGTATGCTTCATTAATTATCACAGCAATCAGATCAGGGACAATATGGCTTTATTTGTTCCTGCGGGAGCGTGTGTGTGTGTGTGTCTGTGTGTGTGTGTGTGAAGACAGGTGATATTCACATGCATGCTCGATACAGCTGAGCACTTTTATGGCTCATTATAAGCTCTAACAAGGCTTCAGTAGCCGTATGTGTGGAGTCTGCTGGGAGCTGCTGTGAACACCTTTTCTCACAGGGCAGCTGAAAATACACACACACACACACACACACACACACCACAGTAAAGAAAACAATTACAGTCCGTCAGTCTGTGTACACGCTGGATTTACTAATTCTGCAAACATTCTAAAAATGTTCTTTTGTTTTCTTCCTGCGACACCACAAACGCCTGAATGTCATCGAATGACTTAGTACATGTTGCTGCCACTATAAAACACAACCTGTGTATTTATACCCAAAGTACACCTGAGAGTACTCATGAGTATCGCAGCCATACGTGACATCATGTGCTGCTCCGACAGTCTGCCCTCCTCGGCTGTCACTGCAGGTGTGTGACCTATTACATCATTATTTTCAGCTCCATTAGCATCATGGTATTAAATCAGATTTGTCGATGCAGCTGATTCGTCCCTGACGTCAGAACACGTCAGTGGTTTCAATGGTGTGGCTGAAAATCATCAGCCAATCACACAGCAATGGAAAGATTTGCCCCAGAGGCCAAACGTGTGAAAAATAAGAGGGGACCCAAAGTGGAGCCTTGGGGGACACCACACACCCAGAGAAGAAGGTAGATGGATGGATGGGAGGATGGACAGAGGAAAAAATAACTAAGTGTGGCGGGAAACTATTTTGTAGTTGAAAAGGAAAACATTTATATCCCTGTATAAACCTTTTACGACCTGAGCTGTTTGTGACCTACATTTTTATGACCCTTCTATTTATGACTGTCCGAGGAACTATCTTCTATCTTTACAGGAAATATACACAAATAAGTTTCCCTCGTCTTAATTCCTGTTTGAAACTGTCGGAACTGGCTCAGACAGACAGCCTTAGTTAGGAGTTAGTTAGGCATTTGAATGTTCTTCATCAGCTCTCTGAGATCCCTGTTAGATAGATAGATAGATAGATAGATAGATAGATAGATAGATAGATAGATAGATAGATAGACAGACAGACAGACAGACAGACAGACAGACAGACAGACAGA